GCATTACTATTATAATTTCAGGAGTTTATATGAATGCATCCAACGATAAAAATACAAAAATATAAGTAAATTAATAAATAACAGTAAATATTGCATAAAGAGCGCATAGGTATAGACAGAGATCTAAGCTAAGGATGAATTAACGTGACAACACAGGCAGACAGGGAGAGAAAATGTAAATATGAGCCGCTTTTAAGCATAAGAAGGGTTAGGTGCGTATACCTATTGAAAAGAAGATGGATTGATGAATGAAGGTATGTAGAAATAAGACACCTCATATATAGAAATGGACACTTAAAGGCATCAAGATAATAGTGGTGAGGATGACCTGCCGAGGACGCAGAGAAAGTGCGGATTGAGAGTTGAGACCAAGAGACGCAAGAGGCATCATATTAACTCAGGTATATGACTAAGCCCGAGAGGAGTAGTGGTCTATAAATAACTTAAACTGGCTGATATGCTAAGTAGAGTAGACAGAGAAATGTCCGTATGTGCGTATACGTGGGACCGAATGCAGGAGGCAACAACGGCCAGATAAATAGAGACCCTGAATTCTTGTGCTGGTCACGAAGATGTGGCTGACTAAGCTGGCTGGTAGAATGTTTCAGGGTTAACTGAATGGCAGAGAAAATTCCCCAGGACCATAGGTGAGCTAAAAAGGGAATACCAGTATTTTATTGCTGATTTGCCGAGGTGATTGTTTTTAATGTTGATGATAAAGAAAAAACAAAAGAAAAGTGTGCACAAGTGAAGACGAGCTTTAGTGAGAAGGTTAATGCAAAAAGCGAGTTAGAATTGAGCCATCCATGCGCTTAGACCATAATTCACGTGCAAATAGGCGTTTTATCCCTTTAAGGACATACTTTAGTGGTCACGAATAATCACTAATTGTATGGCACCTTCACCGGAATCAACAGTAGATCATACGTGTTTTCCAACACATATCAAACCTACAGGACTTGGTTGCGAAGCACAAGTAGGATAGTGATATAAATAGCCAAGATTAAAGGAATGAAAAGAAAGGCATCATATAGAAGGCTTCGGATATATTAGTTTGCCTAAAAATAGATTAAAGGGGCAATATTGGTTTTATAAAATGAAAGTAAAGCTCACCTAAGCCTAAATCCATAGTATCATTATCTTCGCTTAGACAGTTTTCTTCAGGAGAGGAAGCGGCAAGTGGTGATTCGCCAATACCCGTGGCCACATTCGTCATCATGGCGCCACAGATTCGCCCATTGTTGAGGGTCGCTGTAGCATCAGTCAAAGAGTGTCCAGTTATACCTAGGGCCGGTGAAGCCTTTAGAGAACCAGAATTCTGTGCGTCGAGACCAGTTAAAACTACGGGACACTTTATTGTGTCAGGTGCAGTCGGACGGGCGCCTTGCATTGCCTCGACGGAGTATGAGGCTGAATCTGATGATAAACCAAGCTCACCGTCGTCACGACCTCCACCGGACTCAGGCTTGAGAACATTCGCGTCGTGGGACTCGAATTTGCAGGTTGTATTACCGCCCGGAGCACCCACGACACGTAAAGACGGAGAATGCGATAGGCCAAGAAGAGAGGTATGACTGCTGGAGATCGGGGCAGATTGGAGCACAGGATAGTTGTAGGAGACATCCAAACTGGTTAGGAGAGTGTTCAATATAGGAATTATCAATTAAATAGTTTGCAGATTAGAGGCTTTTGAGTGCCTAATACTTCCTATCAATCCATAATATTGACTGTAAGGGTAAATGATAAAACCTTAAAGATAACTTAATTAACAGTCCGTTTTGCTATACTAATGGTGGCAAAATGCTCAGACGATCAAAATTGCTCTAGCCCAAATAAACGTAAAATAAGGATTAACAAAAACTCAAAAATGCATAGATTAGTCGAAGATATGAAGGCAAAGGTGCTGACTTTAGCTTGGTTGCAATCCCTTAAAAGTGATTCAACCTCGTTTTTGTTCTGTTATCCCGACGACTTAGATTAGAGAAATTTGTTCAAAGTCCTCTACAATGGTATTCATGATAAGTTCATGTGTTTAAACGTGGGTTAAGATTAAGGAGTCTTTACTTTCGAATAACTTGAAATAAGAAGACATACAGTTTGTAAAAAAACAACAGCCTTTTTTAGGTCAAAATGAAAAAAATTAAAACAAATCGATATTATATATAAAAATAGTTTAATTTGGACTATTTAATCATTTTTAAACTTTTTTGTTAAAAAAACACACCACTAGTAATTTAATATTTTTTTGATTGACCTTTGGCTTTATAAAGAGCAATAGCTCGTTTTTGAAAACTTTTAGCCAATCTCATTCTCATATCTGTGGTTATTTCTACACAAGAAGTCTTAATTGCATCTTTAAGTTCGTTGATATTTTTAGGCTTTAATATGCCTAGAAAAGTTGGGATTCAAAGAATCTCTTGCTTCATAATTGTTGAGCAAAATTCCATTTCGAGTGAAAGTGTTGGGTGAAGAGATTCGAAGGTCGGCTCCACCAGAAGACGACGGCGGATTCCTCTTGATCCGTTATCGATTTGCTCTACTGGAGGATTAATGCTAACGCTGTTTCAGAGGTAATCTCCTTCGATTTCGGTGAAAAGGTGCTAAGCTTTCGTCCGTAATATGACGAACATCATCAGAGCATGGTATCATCGTCACACAAAAAATCAAGCTAACGAGTCAAGAAACCCGACCTTCGAATCTCTCCACCAAACACTTTCACTAGAAATGGAAGTAAGCTCAACAATTTAATATGCCTATTTTAGACTTTATAATCACCACATAAGTTCTCAATTGGGTTCATGTCTGGTGATTGAGCAGGCCAAGGCAATAATTCCACATTTCTTTATCTCAAAAACTCTGATGCCATCTTTGATGTGTGTTTTGGGTCGCTGTCTTGCTGGAAAATGAACTGGTTCAAACCCATTGATGCAGCAGATTCAGAGGTTATTGGAAAGGATGCACACATATTAAATAGCCTCCATTTTATCCTTTATAAACACTAACTTTCCAACTCGATAATATGAAAAACATCACCATTATAATTCCACCTCCATATTTGACAGTTTTGTCAATATGTTGAGACAGAAGTCCTTTTCCAGGCTCTCTCAACACAAAGGACTTGCCATCGGAGTAAAACAAGTTGAATTTCGCCTCATCACTGAATATGATGGTCTTTA